CAAAATAGACAAATGGCATCTAATGAAACTAAAGAGCTTCTGCACAGCAAAAGCAACTATCATTAGAGTGAACTGACAACCAACAGAATGGGAAAGTATTTTTGTGATCCATCCACCTGACAGAGGGCTAATAACCAGAATCTACAAAGAATTTAAACAAATTTAAAAGAAGAAAACAACCCCATCAAAAAGTGGGTAAAGAATACGAACAGATATTTCTCAAAATGAGACATTTATGCAGCCAACAAACATATGGGAAAAAAACCTCATCAACACTGGGCATTAGAGATATGCAAATCAAAACCACATTGAGATACCATCTCACACCAGTTAGAATGGCGATCATTGGCGCGGTGGCTCAAGCCTGTAATCCCAGCACTTTGGGAGGCCAAGGAGGGTGGATCACGAGGTCAAGAGATCGAGACCATCCTGGTCAACATGGTGAAACCCCGTCTCTACTAAACATACAAAAAATTAGCTGGGCACGGTGGCGCGTGCCTGTAATCCCAGCTACTCAGGAGGCTGAGGCAGGAGAATTGCCTGAACCCAGGAGGCGGAGGTTGTGGTGAGCCGAGATCGCGCCATTGCACTCCAGCCTGGGTAACAAGAGCGAAACTCCGTCTCAAAAAAAAAAAAAAAAAAAAATCAGGAGACAATAGATGCTGGAGAAATAGGAACGCTTTTACACTGTTGGTGGGAGTATAAATTAGTTTAACCATTGTGGAAGACAATGTGGTGATTCCTCAAGGATCTAGAACTAGAAATACTATTTGACCCAGCAATCCCATCACTAGGTGTATACCCAAAGGAGTATAAACCATTCTATTATAAAGATGCATGCACAAGTGGTGTGTGTGTGTGTGTGTGTGTGTGCACAAGCGCGGCACTATTCATAAGAGCAAAGACTTGGAACCAACTCAAATGCCCATCAATGATATACTGGATAAAGAAAACATGGCACATATATGCCATGGAATACTATGCAGCCATAAAAAATGATGAGTTCATGTCCTTTGCAGGACATGAATGAAGCTGGAAACCATCATTCTCAGCAAACTGACACAAGAACAGAAAACCAAACACCACATATTCTTACTCATAAGTGAGTGTGGAACAACAAGAACACATGGACACAGGGATGGGAGCATCACACACAGGGGCCTGTTGGGGGTGGATGTATGGGGCTAGGGGATGGATAGCAGTGGGGTGGGGGGCCAGGGAAGGGATAGCATTAGGATAAATACCTAATGTCAATGATGGGGTGATGCACGCAGCAAACCACCATGGCACGTGTGTACCTATGTAACAAACCTGCACATTCTGAACAGGTACCCCAGAACTTAAAGTATACTAATTTCTTTAAAAGTTATTTTTAATTTGACATCAGTCAAACTGTGAAATGGGCAGGCTAGTGCTGAAAGGTCTCCTGTTTGTTACTAGAGGCAGGCCTGGATTGATCATTAAACTTACAGGAGCCTGTGTTCGTCAGATGTATCTCATTTATACCCGAGGAAACCAGACTAGCCATTGTCATTCCATTCCATTGTCAGAGTGGCCATCAGACATCACTCAGAACTACCTACCATTGAATTTTCTTGATAATATTCTCAGAAGCAAATGCCCAGCTCACATCAAATAACTCTAGTGACAGCCCATTGCCCCAGAGACAGCTGGTTTCATGTTTGAACATTTTCACTTTGAAGGAGGCTTTCTATTGACTTATATCCAGTGATTGATGGTGGCTCTATTCCTCCAGGCCTTATAAAACAATTCCTGACTCTGGTCTACACAGAGTACCTTCGTGTATTTGCAAACAATCGTTCTGAGTCCTCTGAGCCTTTTATTCAAGGTAAAGAGAGCCTCCTTGCTCACGCATTTCCTCGCCAGCTGCTTATTCTTCATGGAGGTCTGCATGCTCACTTGACTTTTTTTTTTTTCAGCTACAATCTATTTGAGAAGATCTACTCTTAGGTTTATGTTTGTTTATTACACTCACAAGTAATATCCACATTTCTGACGGGAGTACTGTCCTTACAAGTATAAGAACTGATCTGTCACAATACAAGCTTTTTAAGTAGACATATTTCAACATGAATATAATCACAGAATTGAAGGAAAGACAAAAAAAGAGATGTTACTGTGGGAAGGGAGGGTGGTGGCTTGGAATCCCTAGGGACAGTGAGAAAACACACTGTGGATGTGGGATTGCAGGAGCATTCTGGGTGCTGAGGACACACTTTTAATGAAATGAAAAAAAAAGGAAACTTAAGAAATTCATTTTTAAAAACTTGAGAGGAAAAAGAACATGAAAATAAGGCTTTCCCTTTGATGTTTGACAAAGCCTATTTTTAGTAGGGAGGAGCTCCCCACTTTCAATCAGGCAACATTTCCAAGTTGTTCTTGCTATCTTTATTAGTGCAGTGAGTTTGCTACCATACAAGGAAACTCTGTGTCCGAAATTCTATTATTCAGCTACTGAAAAGCTAAAAGTTTGCTCCATTACTTCTTCTTTACGATTGAGTAAATCTTGTTAGAGGACAAACTTAAAATAGTTTTGTCACCATAATGTTTTTAACAGAGACTTCAATAATAGAAACAGATGTATGAGCAGAGGGAGGTGTTCTTGCTGCTCCACCACTGAAGGCGAAGGTGCGCTGAGACCTCCACGTGGAATTCCACTCAGACCTCAGTGTTATATAACGGTTTCTCTGACAAGCACGAAAGTTCAGACAAGATCCGGTTATCTTAAATCACTACAGATGGATCTTTAAATATCATAGTTCATGAAGTTCACACTATGCTTTGGAAAAGGCTTAATGGAAAGTTCATAACAAATTGTAAAAATCTAAATCCTACGTGAATTCATTGACATTTGGTAAACGTATTAGCATATTACTAAATGCATATGCTATGACACTGTAATAGTTTAGCAATCCCCGAAACTAATAAACCACGGAGCCTCTCTCAGTAACAATCATGTGCTGGTCATGATGGACTCGAGTTCAACTTCCCCATGCCTGGTAGAGCCTCCAGTAGAAAACAGTGTGTCTGGCTGTGTCTGTCTGAACATTTGAAATAGAGCCTAGGTCATCCTATCATATCATGGAGTAAAGACAGCTTAATTAAAAGGTCTGGGGATTTGGGGGTGCCAAGGTGGGAGGATCACTTGAGTCTAGTAGTTCCAGACCAGCCTAGACAACATAGGGAGACCCCTATCTCTACAAAAGTTAAATTTTAAAAAAAAAAATAGCTGAGCATGGTGGTACCCACATCCCAAACTACTTGGGAGGCTGAGGCAGAAGGATCACTTGAACTCAGGAGGTCAGGGCTGCTGCTGGAAGCTACAGATGCACCACTGCACAGTAAGCTGAGCAGCAGAGCAACTCTGCCTCCATAAGCAACAACAACAAAAGGGCTGGTTTCAGTGGTACATGCATAATTTTGTTTTCCTCACTTAAATTATCTTAATGGTTTTCTACCTTTGATTCAATTGACTCAGTAGGTCCTGATTTATTACGTTACCTTTAGCTAACCCTGTTTGAGCCTGCTTATCGTGCAAGTGTTGGCTTCTGTTTGAATTTAATGTAAAAGCCTGTGCAGTAGGAACTGTTATCAACTCATAACAGGGACCAGAGACTTAGGAAATTGGCCAGTGCCACCTGGCTTGTGCATGGCAGAACCAGGCCTGACTCTGGGTGGCCTGCAGCCAGAATCTGGGTTCTTCCTCACTATATTTTACTGTAAATGAGAGGGAACATAACGTTTGCCACCGCAGGCAGCACCTAAGCACCTTACGTATCAGTGCTCATCTGGCACTCTTACACTTGCTCTGAGTAGCTTTACTTACAGTTTCAGTCTTACCCATTTAAAACATATTTAAGCCTCTGATGATTAGGTTGGCCTGGATACCCTTGTTTTTTCCTCCCTCCCCCGAGATGCTATGATTTCCTGTGCTGAAGTGTTTATAGAGCTGAAAAGCAGAGATGTAAGTGGTATAGTTGGAATATGTAATGAGGGTGGCCATTAATTTATTTCCCAAACTGTAGTAATTTCGTGGGTGAAAATGGACACGATCAAGAACTGTGCTGAGACAGCAAGTGTAAACATGCGGCATAGGGTCAGCCTACTGATGCCCACTTAAGGTCTAGTTTATATTTATATGCACGTTTTAATTTTTGGAAAGTCTCTAAATGCCCTGGGTAGTCAGCATTCTTACGGAGTTCATGATCCCAACAAATAATGCAAGTATCTAAAAACAACAAATAAACGGACCAATGCTATGCATTCAGAAGTCTTAGATTTTAATACGATACTGCTTTGTCCCAGCTGATTGGCTTTGGTAAAGAAAGTTGGCATTCCTTATTTCCTGGTAGGCTCATGAGGCGTCTAGTAATTACTACTATATAATTCTTGGGATTGATACGGACATAGAGGTAAAGATATAGACAATTTATTTGATGGACATGCCTGTGCATAAATATTTTGTGTACTGTGTATTTTTTCAAGAATGATTCACCTGTACCTGTCAGAATGAAAATAAAAATAACATCAATGGGTCAAGGTGTGGGAGGTTGAGGTGGGCAGATCACTTGAGATCAGGAGTTTGAGATCAGACTGGCCAACACGGCAAAACCCCATCTAGTGGCAGGTGCCTGTAATTTTAGCTACTTGGGAGGCAGTTCAAGTGATTTTCCTGTCTGAGCCTCCCAAGTAGCTAAATCATTGAACTCCATCTCAATGACAACAAAAATGGGCAACTGGAGGAATCTAGAATATTTTGGAATCCACTTTAACCTTTTAGGTTTCTGTTTCAAGGACATAAAGATGAAAAATTAAGGTTCTTAGGTGACTGGTCTATCTGGCCCTAAGAAAATATCCCTCATTCATATTCTCAGTGAAAATTAAGACTAAAAATAGTTTGTGTGTGTTTTTAAAGCACAGGAATAATCTGTTTACCTGAATTGATGTTCACATTTTTTTTCTTTTTCTCCCCCTTCTAGTTATCTCATGTGGGAGCCTTTCCTTTCCCCCAAATGGCAACAAGATTGGAACATTGACGGTTTACGGGGCTACAGCTATATTTACGTGTAACACCGGCTACACCCTCGTGGGATCTCATGTCAGAGAGTGCTTGGCAAATGGGCTCTGGAGTGGCAGTGAAACTCGATGTCTGGGTAAATTAATCTATATTCTGGGATTTATTTAATTCAAATGAAGCTTAGATTACAGCTGTGTAACACATATGACTTCTTACTGTAATGTCTTAAATTTTTTCTTTGAGTATCTAAAGAGATTTGTTTTTAATCCAAGCAATAAATGAAAGTCATATATTGCCCTAAGTGCCATAAAGGCAATTTTACAAGAGTGCTGAGAATATGACCACACTCAAATGCCATCATGATTTCAGGACATACAAAAATGAATTTCAAGCACATTGCACATTTTAAATTTTAAAAAATTTAAAAATTAAGTCAGTGAATTGAAGTTATATTTATTCAAATTGATATAAGTATGGTGAATTATATAAAATGATGTGTATTGGCCCCTGGGCAAGATGGCCAAATAGGAACAGCTCTGGTGTACAGCTCCTGGCAAGACTGATGCAGACAGTGGGTGATTTTCACATTTCCAACGGAGGCACCTGGTTCATCTCATTGGGACTGACTGGACAGTGGGTGTAGCACAGGAGGGTGAGCCCTAAAGCAGTATGGGGCATTGCCTCACCTGGGAGGTGCAAGGGGCTAAGGAACTCCCTCCACTAGCCAAGGGAAGCCATTAGGTACCGTTTCCTGCACTCAGGCTCAGATACTGCACTTTTCCCGTGGTCTTCGCAACACACAGACCAAGAGATTCCCTCTGGTACCTACACAACCACCAGGGCCCTGGATTTCCAGCACAAAACTGGGCGGCCATTTGAGTAGAAACCAAGCTAGCTGCAGCAGTTTTCTTCACAAACCTCGGTGGTGCCTAGACACCAGCAAGGCAGAACTGTTCACTCCCCTGTAGAGGGGGGCTGAAGCGAGGGAGCACCTACCCCATGGAGACCAGCAAGCTAAGATCCGCTGGTTTAACATTCTGGCAGTCTGCACAGCAGTCTGAGCTCCACCTGGGACATTCAAGCTCAGTGAAGGGGGGGGGGGAGTTTGCCATTGCTGAGGCCCCAGGAGGCAGTTTCAACCCCATAGTGTAAGCAAAGCTGCTGGGAAATCTGAGCTGGATGGAGCCCAACACAGCTTAGCAGCTGCAGGCACTGTCTCACTAGATGTCCTTGTTGTGCAGGGCATCTCTGAAAAAAGGTACCAGCCAGTCAGGGACTTATCAATAAAACTCCCACCTTCCTGAGACAGAATACCTGGGAAGGGGGCAGTTGTAGGTACCGCTTCAGCAGACCTAAACGTCCCTGTCTGGCAGCTCAGCAGAGAGCAACAGATTTCCAACACAGCACTTGAACTCTGAAAAGGGACACACTGCCTCCTCAAGTGGCTCCCTGACCCCTGTTATCCTGACTGAGATACACCTCCCAGTAGGGGCCAATGGACACCTCATACAGGAGAGCTCTGGCTGGCATCTGGCGGGTACCCCTCTGGGACAAAGCTACCAGAGGAAGGAAAAGGCACCAATCTTTGCTGTTCTGTAGCCTCCACTGATGATTCCCAGGCGCACAGGATCTGGAGCGGACCCCCAACTAACTCCAGTACAGCTGTAGCAGAGGGGCCTGACTGTTAGAAATCTAACAAACAAAAAGTGGTTTCAACATCAACAAAAAGGACTTCCATTCAGAGACCCCATCCAAAGGCAACGTACCTCGAAGACCAAAGGGAGACCAATCCATGAAGATGGGAAGAAATCAGCACACAAGGAATGAAAACTCCAAAAACAAGAACGTCCCTTCTCTTTTAAGGGATTACAGTTCCATGTCAGCAAGGGAACAAAACTGGATGGAGAAGGAGTTTGACAAATTGACAGAAGCAGGATTCAGAAGGTGGGTAATAACAAACCTCTCCAAGCTAAAAAAGAGAAAAGAAGCACATTCTCACCCAATACAAGGAAAATTAGAATCTAGAAATATGGTTAGACAAAATGCTAACTAGAATAACCAGCTTAGAGAAGAACACAAACAACATGATGGAGCTGGAAAACACAGCATGAGAACTTCATAAAGCATATACAAGTTTCAATCGCTGAGTTGATCAAGTGGAAGAAATGATAACAGATATTGAATATCAACACAATGAAATAAGGTGAGAGGACAAGATTAGAGACAAAAGAGTGAAAATGAGTGAAGAAAGCCTCCAAGAAATAAGGGATTACATAAAAAGACCAAATCCACATTTGATTGGTGTACCTTAAAGTGACAGGGAGAATGAAACCAAATTGGAAAACACTGTTCAGGACATTATCCAGGAGAATTTCCCCAACCTAGCAAGGCAGGCAAACATGAAAATTCAGGAAACACAGACAGCGCCACAAAGATACTCCTCGAGGAGACGACCACCAAGACACATAACCGTCAGATTCACCAGCATTGAAATGAAGGAAAAAATGCTAAGGGCAGCCAGAGAGAAAGGTTAGGTTACACATAGGGAAGCCCATCAGACTCACAGCAGATCATTGGCATAAACCCTCCAAGCAAGAAGAGAGTGGTGGCCAATATTTAACATTCTTAAAGGAAATAATTTTCAACCCAGAATTTCAAATCCAGCTAAACTGAGCTTCATAAGCAAAGAAGAAAAAATTTCTTTACAGACAAGCAACAGCTGAGAGATTTTGTCACCACCAGGACTGCATAAGAGCTCCTGAAGGAAGCACTAAACATGTAAAGGAATTACCAGTGCAAGCCACTGCAAAGCCGTACCAAATTGATGCTATGAAGAAACTGTATCAACTAATGGGCAAAATAACTAGCTAGCATCATAATGGTAGGATCGAATTCACACATAATAGTATTAACCTTAAATGTAAATGGGTTAAATTACCCAGTTAAAAGACACAGCCTGGCAAATTGGATAAAGAGTCAAGACCCCTTTGGGAGGCCGAAGCGGGTGGATCACAAGGTCAAGAGATCAAGAACATCCTGGTCAACATGGTGAAACCCCGTCTCTACTAAAAATACAAAAATTAGCTGGGCACGGTGGCGTGTGCCTGTAATCCCAGCTACTCAGGAGGCTGAGGCAGGAGAATTGCCTGAACCCAGGAGGCGGAGGTTGCGGTGAGCCGAGATTGCGCCATTGCACTCCAGCCTGGGTAACAAGAGCAAAACTCTGTCTCAAAAAAAAAAAAAAAAGAGTCGAGACCCATTGGTGTTCTGTATTTAGCAGACCCATCACACCTATAAAGATACACATAGGCTCAAAATAAAGGGATGGAGGAAGATTCATCAAGCAAATGCAAAGAAAAAACAAGCAGGGGTTGCAATCCTAGACTCTGATAAAACAGACTTTAAACCATCAAAGATCAAAAGAGACAAGAACATTACATACTGGTAAAGGGATTAATACAATAAGAAGAGCTAACTATCATAAATATATGTGCACCCAATGCAGGAGCACTCAGATTCATAAAGCACATTCTTAGAGACCTACAAAGAGACTTAGACTCCCACACAATAATGGGAGACTAACACCCCACTGTCAATATTAGATCAACAAAACAGAAAATTAACAAGGATATACTGGACTTGAACACATCACTGGACCAAGCAGACCTAATAGACATCTACAGAAACCTCCACACCAAATCAACAAAACATACATACTTCTCAGCACCACATCATATCCATTCTAAAATTGACCGTGTAACTGGAAATAAAACATTCATTAGCAAATGCAAAAGAATGGAAATCATAAAAAAAAGGTCTAAGACCACAGTGCAATCAAATTAGAACTCAAGGTTAAGAAACTCACTCAAAACTGCACAACTACATGGAAACTGAACAACATGCCCTGAATGACTACTGGATAAACAACGAAATGAAGGCAGAAATAAAGATGTTCTTTGAAACTAATGAGAATGAAGACACAGCATACTAGAATCTCTGGGCAGATTTAAAGCAGTGTGTGGAGAGAAATATATAGAACTAAATGACCACAAGAGAAAGCTGGAAAGACCTAAAATTGACACCCTAACATCACAATTAAAAGAACTAGAGAAGTAAGGACAAACAAATTCAAAAGCCAGCAGAATACAGGAACACTAATGAATCCAGGAACTGGATTTTTGAAAAGATCAACAAAACAGACCACTAGCCAGACTAATAAATAAGAGAAGAATCAAATAGATGCAATAAAAATGATAAAAGTCATATTACCACCAATTCTATAGAAATACAAATTACCATCAGAATAGTATAAATACCTCTATGCAAATAAAACAGAAAACTAAAATGAATGGATAAGTTCCTGGGCACTTACACTTTCCAAAGACTAAACAAGGAAGAAGCCGAATGCCTGAATAGACTGATAACAAGATTGGAAATGAAGGCAGTAATTAATAGCCTACTAACCAAAAAAAGTCCAGGACCAGACAGGTTCACAGCCAAATTCTAAAAAAGGTACAAAGAGGAGATGGTACCATTCCTTCTGAAACTATTCCAAACAATAGAAAAAGAAGGTATCCTCCCTAACTTATTCTGTGAGGTCAATGTTATCCTGATACCAAAGCCTGGCAAAGACACAACTAAAAAAGAAAACGCCATGCCAATATCTATGATGAACACTGATGTGAAAATTCTCGACAAAATACTGGCAGACCAAATCCAACAGCACATCAAAAAGCTTACTCATCACGATCAAGCTGGCTTCATCTCTGGGACCCAAGGCTGGTTCAACATATGCAAATCAATAAATGTAATCCATCACATAAACAGGACCAAAGACAAAAACCACATGATTACCTCAATAGATGCAGAGAAGGCCTTCAACGAAATTCAACAGCCCTTTTTGCTAAAAATTCTCAATAAACCAGGTATTGATGAAATGTATCTCAAAATAATAAGAGCTATTTATGACAAACCTATAGCCAATAACATAGTGAATGGGCAAAAACTGGAAGCATTCCCTCTGAAAACTGGCACAAGAGAAGGATGCCCTCTCTCATCACTCCTATTCAACCAAGTATTAGAAGTTGTGTCCAGGGCAATCAGGCAAAATAAAGAAATAAAGGGTATTCAAATAGG